ATTATATATCAAAAAGGGATTTTTATGTCATTCCCGTTAATTGTTGCTGCAACACGAAAGTATGTCTTTTGGTATCATTTTCCCAATTACTGAACGTCTTTTAACATATCAAGTACTCAATAAAAAGCAGAATTTTTCGCAAAGTTTTTAAATGTAGCGATAAAAGCCAAATATTTGACAAAATAAAGTGTCCGTGACCAGCAATAGTCGACAACTTTGAAAACTCATTTCTTATACCCTTACTATGTACTATGTCATGGTGCTATGTATTTGTGTGTGTGTGTGTTTTTTTTTTTAATTTTCAGATTTAAATATGTTCCCAATATATAATTTCGTTCTATTTAAAATCAGTTAGTAAAGAAGCAAAGTCGGGCTTGGCCGACTATATGATACCCTTCACCACATTGGGTATATTCTACATACGCGGCCTAAAAATTACATGTCATTGTTCTTTCGAAGGAACATTGATATACGTGAACCGACTAACATCAATTCATACACATGCTTATCTGCAACCTATGCTAAATTTCAATCGGGCAGATTTGGAGCCGTTTGCGTACAATGGGACAAATTTATATAAATCGATTTATAACACACTTGATTTATATATATATATATATAAATCTAAATCTGATTTGAATTTTCTCAATTTCAATAGGGTCCTTGGACTAAATGGGTGAGCTGTGGAAAATTTCATCCAAATCGGATCATAAATGCGGTCTGTACTTTGCAATTTAACATGGACAGACAGACGGACGGACGGACATGCATAAATGAACGCAGAAAGTGATTCTATGCTTATTCTCAAAATAAAAATTGTGTCAATCCTGTTTCCTTTTGCCTGTTACAAACGTATGCACAATGGGTATTATGTCTTCATTAAATTCATTAAACTCGTGTAATCCATCAAAAGCCCCGTTAACCAAAAGGTTTACTGGGTTATTTTCATATTTCCAAAAGGCAATTAATGTTGAGAACAAAAAAAATTAGATTACCCAAAATGTTGTAAATGATCATTAACACATTGTTGTTATAAGGTCTAAAATATACACCACAAAACACCAAAAAAATCGAATGTACACAAGGAAACTGTTAGTTTTATTGGATATATTGATTTGCCAATAAAGTTCTTTGGACATTTTTAGATGTTCACATTTATTTCTGTAATATTCAAACCGAAACACTATATTCAAGGATACAAGGAAGACTTTCATTTCGAGAAGAAACTAAAGAAAAAATATATTTTATTTTAGAACTTAACAACTTTGTGCATTCTTTCTCGATGTTTTTCATGTCTCCCCAAAAACCAAACACTTGGCAACCAAATAAAAGTTCTGTTTACTTTTAAGTTGAAACTTTTCATTAAAACTCTTTTCAGATGTTTTGTGTTGTTGTGAGGTTTTCATTTCTTTTTTCCAATTTTTGTGTTTCTGTTGAGTATGAAAGCCAAGAGTTTTAGAGAGATGTATGTTCGGTTTTTTGTCTGTGGCTAACATGGAAAAGGACTTTAAACCTAGAAAAAAGTCCAGTTTATTCATAGAAGCTTAGCAAACCATGGCATTATTACAAGGACAGAATCGGTACTCTTCCTTTTTTGGTATGAAAGCAGTTCGATAAGTGTATTGAACAGCTGCAACATGTGTGACAAGTGTGTCCTTGTATATATATAAGTGAAAAAAGTATTTGAATGAGATTGATATAAATGAAAGAATTCATACACAAATACATACGTACATATATACATACAATGAGAAAAAAATTAATATAATAAAAATACAGTAGTTGGGGAAAATAAGTTTTTTATTTTGGTTTTCAAAATCAATGTATTTATCCGCAAACAATTTCTGCTATCCGAGTTAAATAAAATCGAAGCTGGAGAACAATAATTAATATTACCTAAATTTAACTGAACTCGTCTGAAAATCCCAGGAATAAACAATTGTGTTCATCCTGCCAAAACTCGATTACTGCAAAATAATATTTTCTCACCACTGTCAACTATATTGAAACGCACCCACCTGTAAATCCAATGTACTTAAAGTTCTACAACCAAACACACACAATCTCCCCCAGTTTTGTTGTTATGCTATTTTTTTACCAAGATACAAATATCCAAAAAGCTTTTGTCAACTCATGCATGTTTACGTTTCAAAACTTAAAACTTAACCTGAAAATATCCAAATTAAAAAAACCGAAGAGAAGGATAACAGCTGAAATGGAAAAAGTTTAAATGAAGTGTTGAACACTCAGGTTAATACGTGTGTGTTCATAAAATTTAAATAAGGGGAAACAAAAACAACCCACATGTCATTTATGTCATGTGGAGTGAAAGTGTGTTTCCGTGCATAAATTGTGCAAACAGCACACATTTTTACCATAGGGACAGGAAACAGGAAGGATACATCATGAGGTGTTAATAATCATGCCAGGTATGCATATTTTCCTATTGCCATTTTTATGCGAATGAATATCCATCAACAAATTTAATTGACACATTTACGCAACAATACATTCAATTATCGGATTTGTTTTTCAGTTGTCACCGCCCGACAATGCATTGGCCCACCAAAAAATTACATTGCAACAGCGGCGGCGGCTGACAGCCGGATCGATATGCTAATATAAATGTTGATGACCATATCTATGTGTTCGTGTGCATGTGTTTCTTTATGCATATATATATATGTGTGTATATATGACTTTGTATTATAAATAAAGTAAATATAATTTAAATATTTGCCGAACATGCGAAATGTACAAAAATAAAATTGTTGCGAATTACATTACAACAAGGATAGCGTGGCGATGCTTCAGTTTGCTATTCATAAAATTGAAAAACACGTCAATTACTGGCAATTGATTAATGCGAGCGAAATTTATTATAAAAATTTGACAAAAATTTGTGTGTGTGTTTTTTTGGGAAACTTATTTAGATATTCAATCAATTATTTTCATTTGCAGAATGAATTAAATGAGCCATGCCATAGAAATTGCAACCGTTTGGTTATATGTTTATTTGAACTCCAATGTAAATAGTTATTTGTAGAGAAACACATATTCCGGATCACTTGGCGGATGGTTAAATGAATCACAATGCATTCCTTCCAAAGAATTGCTGTTTACGATAACAAAATCTATAGTAAATGAAATGACTACAGTTTGCCAATCCAGGATCTTGGAGTGGAAAATAAATATTTGTAGAAAACTTGTTTACAGGACATTACCATGATTTTTATTGTTACTTTGTTTTCAAAGCGTACAAAAAGAAACTCCTAGCAGGTATTTATGAATGTAGGCTAATGTTTTTAATAGCCCTCAGTATAAGTGTCTGAAAGATTTTATGGATTTCGAAGGCCCTTTCTGTAGTCGTGATTATACAAACTTTGGTGAAACTGAACGACTTTTTAACACTTTCAATATTCGAGATAGACCCATGGTTCCTTTCGAGAATATGCATAGAATAACTTTCGGAGTCGATTTATGCGATTTATTTATTATTGTGAACAAAGTACAGGTGGCATTTATGGTCCGATTTGTATGCAATTTTGCACAGGTCACTTATTTAGTCCAAGGACGGACCCTAATCGGCTCAGATTTAGATATAGCTCCCATATATAGTTTCGTCGATTTTATGTAAATTGAGCACCAAACTGCCAATATTTGCCAGAAATACGTACTGATAGATGCATGCGAAGTTTTGTTGAAATCGGTTGAGATTAAGTTATAGCTACATTATATATTTTTTCCGATTTAATGTAAATGGTGCATCAAAAGCCATATATCATTCAATTTGCACGAAATTTGGGATAGAGTACTGAATTAATACAGAAAACTCCTATGTTTGTCCGATTGACACGAAATTTTGTACAACGTATCAAATTGAGACTAGAATGAAGTTATTGCGTTTTTTTTTGAAATAAAGATAAAAATAATATATTTAACTTCGTTCCTTCGAAAAGGCGACATCTTTTAGGATACATTGTCGAATATACCCAAAGTGGTGAAGGGTGTCATATAGTCGGCTCAGACCGACTTTACTACTTTCCTTACTGGTTTTGCGTATATTGGGTATGATCAGCCTTTCTTCGCCGGTTTATTTCCGAATATGTTGATTTTTCAATTTAGTATTTATTTTATTTAAAGAAAGTTCAGTAAAACGAATGTACTACTTGGAAATTGTAAATTTATTGCTAAACTTTTAGATTCAATTTAACCGGAACAATTGTTGGTTTTGACATTAACGTTGAACTCTTCAATTTGTTATTATTTAAAATAACACATTTCATTGTTATTGAAAATTTGATCTAACAAACATATGCACTTGTTACAATACCCGGTACAGTGTGGTATATAATAACAAAACGTTCAAATTATTTCACATTATTTGAACGACGTATTCCACACAATGACCATTATTAGTTATGTTATTATAACTATGGAAATCTTTAATTCTAACGCTGAGTAATAATTTGTTGGCAAAACTTTCTAGTCAAATTAAAAAACAATGTCACGTGACACAGTGAAACTTAAGTGCGAATTTATTCGTTAATCAAGTCAACACGAACATTCCCAAAAATACTCATTTTTATAATTATTATTAACAATTTTAATTTATTTGTTTTAATAAAATAGTATATTTTTTCTTATCTATTTTATTTTCTAATTTTGTTCCACTGTGCCATATCTCGTTTTGTTATCACACAAATTCACTTACCATGTTTTTGTATGCGATCAGATAATCTTAAACCCTTGCCATTTCGATTGTTTAATAAACAGAAAATGCTTTCATTATTGTTATTATATTTTTAGTCACTAAATTTGGTTTGAGGCGTATGGACATAACACATATTTATTGAATTTAATTAAAAAAAATAATAAATAAAAACAAAAAATGGAAGTTAATATTGCAATGCGGACCAAAATTAAGTTAGGTGGAAGGTATGAAGCGAATTTTTATTTTTCATTTAAATCTAATGGAAAATATAAATCCTTTTTTACAGATTTATTACAAACAAAATCCGTCAATTTCAATCGGATACACGAGAAACATGTAACGCCAGCACGACCTATGGACCCATCAAAGGCCTCAAACGTTTAAATGTTTACAAAGAACATGGCTATTACTTTAGTTTTGAAGGCATTCCATATGCCAAACCGCCGCTAAATGAATTGAGATTTTGTGCTCCACAACCACCCGAACCATGGCACGATGTGCTCGATTGCACAAAATGTAAATCGAAACCTGTGCAATATAATTTCATAGCCAAGTGGGTTGAGGGTTCGGAGGATTGTTTGTATGTAAATGTCTATTGTAAAAAGGTAAAAACTCTATTAACGATTTCGTTTTTAAGAATTTTAATTTAATACGTTTTTGTTTACAGCTGCAAAGTGATAAGCCACTACCGGTTATGGTTTGGATTTATGGTGGTGGCTATCAAGTTGGAGAAGCTTCAAGAGATGTGTACTCTCCTGATTATTTTATGCAGAAGGATGTCATTGTGGTCACCTTCAACTACAGATTAGGTGTCTTAGGTGAGTGTATTCAGGTTTATTCATCATCAACCACAGATTGTAATATTGAAAACTATTTCAGGGAATATTAAGTTACGTTTTCTAGTAGAAATGGCAGGTACTTTGTTTTTCGTATTTCGGGAGATAAAAATACGCTCTAGAATGTAGGTTTCAGTTAGGTTCAAGGACAATGCCTATCTTCTGTGATGATCAGATAATAATTATAGATTGAAATGAGACGAAAAATTTAATTGTTTGTGTTTTTTCGAGTCGATCTATAGGCTACAATTATACGTTGAACAACACAACCCACGGTGAAGGGAATCTGGACAAGTAATTAGAAGGCCTGTCCTGAATATTAGTGATATTCAGAAAATATGTCAGTGTAAGGAAGAGGTGGAGGTTGACCTATAATCGAGCAAGAGATTACAAATATCACGAAATATTGCCAAGGGTCGGAATAAGCCTCCGCAGAAAGTTAGAGTTCCGTGCCAGTTGTGTAGAGTATCGTATGGTCGGCCCGTCCGACAGCTACGCTCACTGTTTTTTATTTTAATTGTATTTATTATCTCCCTAATAGATATATAAAAATTTGCCTCAGTGAAATATCGATCTAAGAACACAAGTGAATTTGTGCCAACTTTAATTTGTATATGTTCACCTATTAGATAGCGTATATACAAAATGTTCATCAGTGAAATATCGATTTTAGAATACAAGCGAATTTGAGCCAACTTTAATTTGTATATATTCACCTATCTGTCTGTCATTTGGCATTTTGATATGTATCTTTTCACAGTCTAATATAAAATGTTTTATTTTCCAGGTTTCCTGTGTTTAGATGACCCAGATTTAAATGTACCCGGTAATGCTGGTTTAAAGGATCAAGTTATGGCCCTAAAATGGGTCAAACAAAATATCCACAATTTCAATGGTGATCCCAATAATATCACAGTTTTTGGTGAAAGTGCCGGTGGTGCGTCGACCCAATTTATGATGATGACACCCCAGACGAAGGGTCTCTTTCACAAAGCCATAATCCAATCCGGTTCCATATTATGTCCTTGGTCATTTACCGACCGTCATGATTGGGGTTACAAATTTGCCTGTTACATGGGATATAAGGGTGAGAATAATGATCGACAGGTTTACGAATATTTATCACAGACAAATGCAAAGATGTTGGCATTTAAAGATTTAGATATGATGACAAAAGAAGATATTTGGAATAATTTAATTGTTCTCATTCGTCCAGTTGTTGAGCCATATCGAACTGAAGAATGTGTGGTTGATAAGCCTCTAAAGGAATTCTTAGCCACCGGCTGGGGTAATGAAATACCGTTGATGATTGGGGGCAACTCATTTGAGGGTTTATTACATTTTGCCACTGTACACAAATATCCATTTTTAATTAACGATTTAACAGATTTCCAAAATTTAATACCAGATGATGTAAAATCATCATCGAATTTAAGCACAGAAACCAAAGAAAAGGCTTTAAAATTAAAGGAAGTATACTTTAGAGGAGCTCAACCTAATTTTGCTGAAAATTTCTTTCAGTATTTAAATCTTCTGGGTCACAGATCATTTTGGCATGGCATCTTGAGAACATTGCGCGGACGTAAGAAGTATGCCAGCAAGGTTCCAACCTATTGTTATTATTTTGATGTTGATTCAGAATCCTTTAATCAATTCCGTTATGCCACCTGTGGCCCCTCCATACGTGGCACAGCTCATGCCGATGATTTGTCTTATTTATTCTACGGAGCAATAACTGAGAAAATTAACACCAATAGCCGAGAATATAAAACCATTGAGCGTATGATTGGTATGTGGTATAATTTTGCATTGTCATCAAATCCAAATTGCAAGGAAATCGAATCAGCAAAATGGGAGGCGATAAGTGCTGAGGAAGAAACAATTAAATGTTTGGCTATTAGCGATGATGTTGAATTCAAGGAATTGCCTATTTATAATAAACTTATTGTTTGGGATCAATTTTATAAAGAGGGGGAATTAATTTAATTGAATTATAGTGTATTTAAGCTATTCACAATAGCTTATAGTATGAATAATGATTGTATATATATTTGAAATGTTGTATATATTTAAAGAAAAATAAAATAGTCTCTAGTTTGTACTGCATTTATTTTATATGTATATCATATATACAGATACAGTTATGTATATACAAATAGGGTATATTCCACAAAATTCCATTCATGTTTCTAAAAGTATTTCCATCCAACATTAACTGACCAGTGCTACTACGATCCAATGGAATTCACCATTGTCTGACATAGCATCACTCTGTGCTGAGCTTTTGTTAACGATTTCAATAACTAATTGTCTAGAAACGCCTGTTAGGGACATCATCATGGCTCTGAATGCATCATAAAAATAAATGGTGCTCGCATTCAATGTTTTATAAATTCATTTATATCAGTTTCTACAACGGTTATTGTTGCTGCTTATAAATGAATACGATATTTATGATTTGATTTTGTTACTTAATCTACTGAATGGATTTCTGCAGAGAGTAACAAAAACGCACAGAGAGTGGAACCTTAACATTAAATCACAAGATACTTTATACAATTGAGACTTTTTCATCATGACAGCTGTCATCATTGTTGTCATACAGCAATATAACCCAGACAAAAAAAGAAAACACCATCAACAACAACAAAATGGCGATATAAATAAAACACAACAACAACAACGAAAAGGCAATGACAACCACAACGACGACTGTGGCTGCGTCATACACAACACCACTACCACCACAGCAGCCACCAATGGCAAGCAAGCAGGCAACCAGCAACATGTAACAGTGACACATCTATGAATTACTACTCCATTGTGCCATTGCTCCAGTGTTCCAGAGTGCACTCACTGAGTGATGACATTGATGCTGGTGTTAGTGGTGGCAGCAACAGCAGCGAAGGAGTGAAATGTATTTCACCGCCAAAAGAACGAAAGAAATATGGCAACAAACAAAAACATTAAATGAAGATATAAATTAAATGAAAAGAAAAGTATGAAACGGAATGAAACGAAACGTCACAGCGCCTCTGAACTCACGACACTCGACTCAATTTCTGTGCAAAGCAATACGTCTGTGATGTGCACAATGGAATAATTTTTTCCAATGCATACCCATATTTATATCAAATGTATGTTCAATGTGTAATATTTAATGGTCTACAGATGTTTTTCATTCCACTCATATCATTTGGCGGAACACAGGACAAACAAGTATATCTAATTTTGCAAATCTGAAAACCTGTCCGATAAAGGATTGTCAAAGATCAAGATCAAGCTAAACACGAGACACTATAAAGGATCACACAAGGAACATTGAATAAAAGACATGTTGGTCCCAGTGATGTCTATCATTCGATTGTCTTCCTCTTTTTTCTTCAACAGACTACAAATAAATTCTATCACCATTCCATTGTGCAACATACCACTGTGGCATTTTGTGGCCTGTTTGTTTGCCTCAAGATGACTGGGAAACAGACGGTAAGATGGTCGTCTCAAACAATGTGATGTGCTAAAGGAAATGACGAAAAATATGAAAAAGTTGTACTAATAAATATGTTAAAGTAACTTTTTATGTTGATATATTGTGCCGTCGTTTCCTCTCGTTTCTCGTTTATGCATCCTTCCGGTTCGCTTATTTCTCTATGGCGGATACAGAACATTTCATCAGACATATGATGAATGGCTTCATATTTGGTTAAATTAAAATCAACTTAGCGTAGACTTAAGCAATTCTTCAAAGCCAAAAATAAAATCAAAAAGAGTAAAATGGGGGGAGAGTGTGAAGTGTAGTCGGTTAGTAATTCAATTCGAATTAACAAATTAATAAAAGATGTGACATTAATAAAATATACTCCAGACTATGCCTTCAATATACAAATATGGTAATGTGTTATAAAGTAGAAGAATACCAGTTTTTCATAGTAAATACAAAAATATATAATGAAAGAATGTGTAATGTAGAATAGTGTAATAGTATTGGTCTGGTAATCATATTAGCATTAACAACTTAATGCCAATAACATAAATTTGGATGAATTCGAATAAATAAAAAATATTCAAGGCTATGCCATCAATATACACGCATTGTCATCACTTATAAAGTTCAAGTGCAGCCGTGATAGTCCACACTTGCAGTTGTTCAAATAAATAAATTACAACATGTGTGAATGGGTACATTGTAGTGTGTTTCCAGCAATTTGACAAACCATTTCTCCTACATTTGACACACATACACGATGCTATTGCAATTACACTGGAAACTTATTTGACACATACACACTTGCATACTCCAAGGCTCAAATTGATTAGCAACGGACTTCTGAATGTCAGTCAGATGCTTTGAGCTAGCATCCGAATTTGCTGGTTGTAAGTGTTGCTGGTCGGTCGGACGGTTGGTCCATGATGTTCTCGGGCCAATAGTGTCTCCGGCATATTTACATTTAATCAAAGGCCCAACATGCGCCGTTGTACCCAGTTCGCCAAAGTACATAAATATGGAAGTGATTGTAAAACATGACCCCATTTTCATTCGCAATTTTGTTCAGTCGTTCGTATTATTCGTTGATGTTGTTTTGTTAGTGTTTCTTCTTCGTTTTTCTAGTTGTCTGGACTATAATGCGATTTGAATATGAGAGCAATGCAATGTAAGTACAGGAATACAGTAACTGTGAACAAAAAAAATACAGCAACACAAAACAAACAAAAGATACGGAGAAAGACGATGGAGAATATATCGTGTCTGTTACAGAGTTACCGAAAATCTGCTGCTAATTTAAATTTATTGATGCCACATACTTTAGAAAGTGTGGCAACGTTGATGATGTTACACTTTTCTAGCAAAAAGTGATACATTTGGGAACCGGTTATGGGGAAGACAATTATCTGAAACATTATAGATATTTACTAACAGGTTGTAATTCAAATGTCTTAAAACTATAAATAAGGGGGTTTACACGACACTCTCTTCAGTTTAGATTTATATATAGCTTTCCGTCCGATTTAATAGAAATTGTGCACCAAATCCCTATATATTTTTCGATTTGCACGCAGTTTGGCATAGCGTACTTAACTAAGACTAGAATTATGTGTGTTAAGTATCGCGAAAATCGGGTCAGATTTAGATATAACTCCCATATATATTTTCTTCCGATTTAATGATGCTATGTCTGTTCCATATATACTTCGATTGATGTTAGTCGGTTCTTTGATAAGTAATGATTACATATTTAAGTTTGTTTAATTTCATGTTGGGATACATATGTATAACCTTACTGTTTCTTTTTTATTATTTTATACTCCACCATAAGAGATTTGTAAAATTAAAGGTAGGGTTTTAAATTAGATGGATACATTGCTAGAATTCCGTGCAGGGTTTGGCACATTCCAATCCTTTTTCCATTCTTAAAGTTCTAGACAAATTTCATAATTGAATATATTCCCAAGAGATATTAAAGTTGATTTTTTAAGAATTTTATCCATGAGATCATGGTACAATTATAAAAGGTAACAGCAAATCCCAGCTGATTTGATTCCAACGTAATACTAGTGTCAATATGAATTTGACAAATTATGTTTTTAAAAATCACCCAACAGGAAAATTGGGAACGCATACAATTTGAAATTGTTCTTTATTAATGTGCTCCCGTATTCAATTTACTCAATCTGCCTGCTGGGAAATTTTGAGGAAGCAAATCTTTCTTGAAGGAATAACTCGCTATTCCCAGCATTGTCATATGTGTTACACATGTATATGACAATGGCTCAATTAAAGGAAAGATGTGGAAGCGATAGAAATATAAATTTGATAGATTTTCATTCTTTTTTTTCAATTTTTATTTTGAGGATTCGAAAATAGTCCATTTCCAAAATAAAAATAAATTGAAGATGATAATTTGTTTGTTTGTTTACATTTTTCTGTCAAATGAGTTGACACTACACCTTTTTCAAATGTTATTCAAAACATTTCAATTGCAATTCGAGAATTTCATTTGTAAGTCGAAAATTCAATTTGCAATTCATAACATTTCAGTTGTAATTCGAGTATTTAATCTGCAATTCACAACAATTCATTTGTAATTTTAAACTTTTCATATGTAATTCAAATAATTCCATCTGAATTTTCAAGAATTTCATTTGTAATTTGTAAATTTTTATTTGAAATTCGTAGAGTTTCATTTGAAATTCAATGAATTCAATTTGAAATTCATAAAATTTCTCTTGTAAATCATAATATTTCAGTTGTAATTCGTAAAAATTCATTTCAAATTCTTAACATTTCATTTCAAATTCGAATAAAATAAATAAATTGAACAGTAAGTGGGGTAGAATTTTTTTATGCAGTAAAAAATAGTATTAAAAAAAACTGACACGCACACACATATATATATATATATATATATATATATATTGTACATGACAAATTTACTTTGAATATATTACATTAATATGTACATACATTTTTACCCACCTTAATGTGTTACACATTTTTTGGGTGTTTCCAATAACATTTTTCCAATTTCAAATGAAATGTTATTAATTTAAAATCAAATATTACGAATTTCAAATGAATTTATTTGAAAGTTGAATGGAATTTTATAAATTTCAAATGGAATTTTAGTAATTTCAAATGGAGTTTTTAGAATTTCCAATGGAATTTTACGAATTTCAAGTGGAACTATATGAATTTCAAATGGAATTCTGCGAATTTCGAAAGGTTTTCTATGAATTACAAATGAAATTCTCGAATTACAATTGATATGTTATGAATTGCAAATGGAATTCTCGATTTGCAAATTATATGTTGTGAATTACAAATGGAATACTCGAATTACATTTGATATGTTTTGAATAACATGTGAAAAAGGTGTAGTAGAACTTACAACAACAAATTTCCTTGTGGTTGTTGTATCGTTTTTTGTACAACAACACTTGCTGTTACCTTTTATTATTATACCATGCCATAAGATATAAGTATGGAA